ATACTCCATTTGTACATACTTGTAGAATATTATGCTTTACTTTTCAATTAAGAAAGAAAAACCATTATAAACAAAATAATTAAAACGGTTCGTTTCGCTCCTTCCTCAGACGAACCTTATTATTTCGTCAATCCCCGGAGCTCATCAGTGAGTTGGGATTGGCGAAATAAAGACACAGGGGAAAGACGAATAAACCTTGATTGACGAAGAAAATGGTCATGCAGAGGAAGCATGCAATTTAATAGATTGTTAATGTTTAAATGAAAAGATAGCGTATAAATGAAATGGAAGTCTGCTTTAGGTAGTCAAAGAAGTCGGTCCACCCCATGATCGTTCTTACGTAGTTCGATGTTCTTTGAAGAATCCGAAGAACGAGGTGATTTTACGTTATTAGCTCATTTAGCATAATCATGTCTGATGCTTTTGATACCTACTTTGTTGGAACTTCTCTAATATTTACGGCCTTTTAAGGTTGTTGTTGAGACGGTAGGTGAAGGGCGTAAGAAGAAAGAGGCTACTCAAAGTGCATGCGCGAACGTTCTTTCCCGACTGCGAGGCATTGGTGAGTTGCGTAACATTCCGAATAAGTTATTTTGAGGTTTGTTATCACTTTTCAGAGAATTCACCGCTTTTTATCGCATCATCGCTGTACAAATTGCAAAAACGTGTTCTAAATCCGTCTAGAGAGCCGAAGAGAAAGACTATAATAAAGGTATGAGTTGTGAATGGCAAAGATTTGTGCACGTCGTATTTCAGAGTGTTTTTGTAGTAGTTACCTAGTAACGCAATGGCAGGGTTTCGTCGAGATTGTGAGCTATAAATCATCCATTCAAATATGGAAGAAATGGGGTAATGACATGGTGACGGCTGCGGTAGTCATCAGGATTCCGCGGCAGGATTTTTGGGAAGAGGTGGGGAAGGGCGGGTGGAAGAGGGATTCTGAAGGCACACCTTCAATTTCGTTCAGGATATAAGCAGAGCTCGGCATGTTAGTGTTTTCAACTTATGTTGCCTGTTACCCAGTATGATTTTACCTGCACAGATTTCTTCTTCTGCCTTTGAATATTTTAAACGCAGCTTCTTCCGCAAACCCTGGATAAACAGTCATGCATACGGCTCTGGAATATTTAGTTGGAGGACAAAATAATCGAGCAATCCTCTTTTGGTGCCATTACACCATTTCTTCCCTGTTGTTGGGTTGTAGCGCTTAAATGCTGCTGTGATCTTTAATAGCTCATTTTTTTCGTCAAGGATATGAAAATGGATCCGACTTACGGTCATCAGATCAATCCAGTTTCGCGTCTTATTCAAGTACTGCAAGCTCGCTGTGAGGATGAGCCACAGTTTGAGTTGATCTCAGAACAGGGCCAAAGTCGCTACAAGGAGTTCACTGTGCAGTGTTTTTTGTTTTATTTTTGGGTTTTACAACGTTTTGCCTTTGGAACAGTAACATAGAAAATGATAGGATTGTTGCAGGTGAGCTGTGGTTCACGTATTTGCTCTGGAAGTGGGCCAAATAAGCGGCTGGCGAAACGCGCAGCTGCTGAGGCGATGCTGGCTGAAATAGTTATGTGAAACCATTGCCTCCACCTGGAAAGAGTTTGGCTCAAAAGAAAATCGAATACTCAATCATCAACATAGTAGTTTTCAAAATCAATTTCAAAATTCCAATTTATTTTTCGTGTGGGCCAAGTGAAACTTAATGAGCTCATTTTGAAGGTGTCTTTGATCCGAACGATCTGATTACTCCGCCAGTGCAGAATGCCACAGGCTGCACCTCATCGGCTCAGCCTGATCAGCAAGATTCTCGAAATTCTGAGGAGCAGTCTCTTCAGGAAGGACTACTGTCAGTTATCAAGCGGATTTGATCTAAACTAAGAATGTTTTTACGTCAACATTGCTTTTAGAGCGCTTTGTGTTGATGATCAGAACAAGCCGAACAAAACCGGCTCGTGCAGAGCCAGCATGTCCGCATCGAATGATGCAGACGGTTGAAGGATCGCACAACGGCTCATCTCCGCGTCGTCGTGTTACATTCAGCAACCAAGTGAAAGCTTGCCCTCCACCAGGTACGTCAGATTTGCAGAAGATTGAAAACCTTACTCGTGGCGTGGCTCTTTACCTCGCATGGACGCAGTGATAAATTAAGAGGAGCGAATTAATTTTATAAAAACTTGCGATCATTTTTACTGAACTATTCTCTCCTCCTTTCTTCTACTGAGCCGTTTTTTCGTATTTTTTTCCGCGAAATCGCGTTTTCAACAGCAGGTTTAGAGAGTAATTATATATATTTCAGTATGATAGCAAGTAATCCGGAAACCTGAACTGAGCCCCGCTTACCAGCAATTTGTTATGTGACGGGTCGCGTAAAGCGTATTAGAAGAACAAAAGAGGCGAAACGGTTAGTGGTGTAATGCCATTTTTCCAGTTTTTCACTCCTAAAAGCGTTTTTCCAGGGCTTTGTCTGACGATCAAAAGTGTGAGATCCGTGAAATAGCAAGAGTATCGATACAAGCGTTGCAGAGTCCGAACATGATCCCGTGTGCAGAAGGTACTGATAAGTTCTGGTTCAAGTGTTTCACTATTATTACTAGCGTTGTCCCTAAGTAAACTTCATGGGGAAGGAATTTGGTTTAGCTTGGAAGTTGTGCGCTAAATAAATCACATAGAAAGTTAGTAATCGGGTTTTCACGTTTTCTGCTGGTGACCGGTCTAAGCGCACCCATAGTCGGTCGTCCGATCGTAACGGTCGCACAGCATTGGATGCGTGTCGATCGTCAGACTTGCCTGAGTTTTCGACGATCGATACGTATCTAACGCTGTGCGACCGCCATCATTGCAGATGGGATGACGACTATGCATGCGCCTAGACCGGTCACCAGCAAAATGTGAAAACCCGATTACTAAGTTTCTATATGATTTATTTAACACACAACTTCCAAGCTAAACGAAATTCCTTCCCCATGATTATGCTCAGCGTTTTGGGAGAATCGGAGGAACGACAAATTGCAGAATCCACGAGGAAGATCAGGTGCAAATCGATTTGCCTAAAACGATCGTAGATTTAACGTTGGCGAATTAGGCCCAATAGGCGAACATCTTCTCTGGTTCTTCCATTTTTCCACCATTGAGTTTTCTGATCCTTCCGTAGATTTCGCACCTGTGTATAACACTGAGTATGACGACAGTTTTATTATACATATAACTACTTTGCATATAAACAGGCGAGACTTTGACATCTTTCATGCTTTTACGCTGATAGCAATTCTCCATTTTTTTCAAAGATCGCGATAATCGGAATAGTACAGATCTTGTCATATTAGTCCGATTCCTATAGGAGGAAGATGTCATTAAGAACCTCAGGATGATGAACTTTGTACGAGTGTTTCATGTGTACTTTGACGTTAATTTTACAGGCGGCCCAGATTCGGAATCTTGTCAGCTGCTCAGTGCCAGACGTCGTCTTGATAGTATGTCGGAGACCTTCAAGTTCAGCGTGCAGTACACAAACTTCCCAAAGGTAATGTGCAATGTGCTGTCTATTTGTGCTCAAGTGACTGGTGTTATTTCGCATCTTTCCTTCAACTCGAATTCCGGAAATTTTGCAAACGAAAGTCTAGAAGTTGTTTTGATTTCGCAAATTTCCACCCGCTCTTGAAAATCCAGATTTGTGTAAGGGCGGAAGTGGTGTAGTGGCAAGTGGCACGCTTACCACGCGAGCGGTCCGGGGATCTCCTGGGTCGTGAGTCGCCCGGGCCAACCAAGCCTTCCATCCCTCCGGGGTCGGTAATTGGTACCAGACTTGTCTGGGAGGATAAAAACACTGACTTGTACATCGGCTGGCCCCCGCAAGTCATTGTATAGGCCACATCGCATTCAAACGCCACTACGAATGTACAAATGGAAGTAGAATGCGTGCCGCATCCCAAAAGGGGTATCAACGGCAAATGCTTATCCTTTATCACGTACGTGTGATTAGGGCGTCTGGTGCGTCAGTGGATTTGATGCTGGAACTGAGAGAGTTTGTGGAGTCAATTGACTGGAGTGTCGTTTGTTCAGTCAGCCTGATGGAAGATGTGTCCGCTTACTTTTGCGGCTGGGTCACTTGGTTTGGCAGTGGAGGAGCCAGCGTGAGCTTTATTCTCTTGCAGTTATATTTTTTGTCGTTATTTTTTCGTTGCACTCGGTTGTATAAGAGCCTTTTGGAAACTTAGTAAAAGGTCATCGCGCGACGTCGCGTTATTTCGAAGTTGCGCATCTACAATGATCGTCTGTGGCGGAGTGCGGCGTTGTCGGCTCGTCCGAGGATGCAAAACAACCACAAAGCAGTCCGTTCCATCTGGCGCGCAGATTTGGGTTGTAACTGCGCGATTCCGTGCGTTGACCTCGTAGTACACTCTTACACAGGAATGTAACTTTCAGCGACTTAGGCTAAAAGGCTACGGTAGTCAGAAGTAGTCGGCCGCCAAGATAAAACAACGTGTCCGGTCCCACGCACAGCGCTGAGAGAACTGAATTGGACTTCGGACTTTCGCAGGGCATTGGCGCCCTTAGGTGTGTAACTCACGGACAGACCTGGCAAGTTAATGGTTGGTGCCGGAATGGACATATCGCATAGCACTACACTCTCATCCGGCGCGGCATGTATGTCTGCAATCCAGCTGTTAGATGGGCCTGGCGGGCAATTGCCTTTATTTGTCGGCACTAGATTGACGGTAGCCCATAGCCTAGTTGCTGGCGTTGACCTCTTAGTGCACTCTACTAGCATAAATAGACTCAGTAAAATGGATTATTTGCAAATTCTACGTGGCAATTTATCAGGTTTGTCATGGACGTGGTTCTACGATGGAGGCGGCAGCCGAAAATGCGGCTTTCAACGCCATTTCGAATTTGTGCACTTACGATCAGCCGGTGTCACCACAGGAACAGCAACTTGGCGCTCTGTCTCCATGTAACTAACAGTGGCGTCAGCCATTGTCCAGTCTGTCGTTTTGGAACTGTTTTTAGCCTAGTCGTTGCCGTTCCGCCCAATTACTTCAATCGTTCAAGGAAACGAGTATCAAAAATACTAACGTTCAACGTATTTCACTCTTCGTACTAACAATTAATTCGTTGTCAGGAATGGCTTATCGTCGTCGTTTGGTTAGCGCTCTATTACTCATTGTTTCTTCCTATGTTTCTATCCGGTTTCTAGAAAGTTCAGTTGATTCGACCGGTTAATCCGTGATATGCTTTATGCCTGATGCACATCGACGCCATGCTCTTCGGTTACGGTAGTAGTGCAAAGTCCGCTTTTTCGTTTTGGTTACTCTTTATTTGTTTTTTTTCTTTTGTTTATTGGTGATGCTTCGCTTCCAATCACTAATTCCATAGTACAATATTCGGGCGAACTTGTGCATTCTTTTAAGGTCAACCTTACTTCTATTCATTTACTGAACTGCACTTTAATTTCCAATCTGTGACCTTAAATTCTCACGGTGTTTACTAGTTAAGAATTTATCCCTACGGTTCATAATCATTGGTCGAGTCATAGTGATACTGTACGGCATCTTTCTTGTCTCATAAGTTACGCATGATCTCCATTAAGTTATCCATGCGTGAATTTAGAGGCACTTTTGTTTGTTGAACTTGTCTTGGCCATAAAAAATGGGAGTGAAAGCTTTGTTCAGTTGCAAATTGTTTCAGAATTTCCTTGTACTCCATTAAAGGATTGCTGCGAGCGGTCGCGTCGCGGTTTACGTCGCAGCCGCTCGCGGCATATGCTGGATTTTTCAAACTTGCTGGTTCAAAGTAGCGATTGCATTGCAACTGAACAACAGCTTACATAGTAGTGCATTTTTATTATTCATCTAGATCATGGTCAAGCCTAAAACGGGAATTTGAACCCTCATTCATGCGAATTTCTTAGATTTCAGTTTATTTCAATTTATTCTAGGTGTTAAGTAACTGCTCTTCGTTCTTGCTTTTTCTTATGAACCTCAATTTCCAAGGTCTTTTCCATGATGCTTTTAAGTACCACAATCTAACTCAGCTCTCTGTGTAAAGAATATCCGATCTACCTACGTGTGCTTGACCCTGGTCTAGATCTTCCATAGTCTACTGGCTTGCTCATTATCGGTGTGCTGTGGTAAAATATTATCGGTTTCTGTTCTTATGCCCCTTGATCCCTTCATTTACCCTCAGCGGAAACCTGTGTTATACCCGTACCATATTCTCTTACAAAATGCGGTTTATTCTCATCAATGTGCTGTGTTTTGAATCTAATCCGAATCACTTGTACACACTAAACGCTCATCATAGACTCGTATGGCATTAATCATATTCCTCGCATGCTCCAGTATAACCGGCTTTACTATAGATTCACAGCTTATTTCGTCTTTTTGCTCTGTTGTGCAATTACGGACCTTCTTATTGCTGCGGTGCGTGTCGACTGCGGCTTTTGTCGGCAATTTTGCTCACAGCGTAAAGATGAAATTAGCACAATTGTGTGTTGTAGGATCTGTTGAAAGAGAGCTTACGTTTCAACGAGAAAATCAATATCACATGTTTGTGTGAATTCCGCGTCATAACTGTTCGCCAATAGGTGCTGTCTTTGCATTGTGATAATTCTGAAGCAAACTACTCATTTCTGACGTGATTCTTTGCCTTTTGCGAGGTTTTTACTCCTTTATTTTTGATTTCGGTGTCAAGGGAAGTGTGTTCATTAATCACCATCTGTGTTCGAAAATAATTTGTTTAGCGAAGTGTCTTTACCATTCTGATATGTGATTCTTTCATAAGAAAGAAAGTATTATTCTGTAGATTCTCCATAGTTTTCTTGTAGTTTAGCTGTGCTATTTGTTAAAGTGTAGTCGGTAATTTGGTCATAAGGTCTGTTTGGTTTGACGCATAGCCGTCTCGCTAGGACGGTCGCGGCGCGACGCATTCGATCGGTCAACCACGTGCAGCTGCGTGATGGACCGGTCAAATGCGTCGCGCCGCGACCGCGCGCGTCCTAACAAGGCAGACCGTTTCGTGACCAAAGCGCCGGAAACACTTCTCTCTGTGGTATTGCTCTGTTCAAATTGTTTTTTCTCAGTGCTCCGAATGTCAAAGCTGCTAAATTTATGTGTGTGTGTGTCTGGTGTTTCATCTCTTTGTTCTCTGTAATACATATTTGGCGCACTTAATGATGATGTGATCCTATGGTGTGGTACTACAAAATGTGCTTGTTCTCAAATCATTGGCAATTTAATGAAATATGCTCACTTCTAGTGCTATCTAACCATATCGCACGCTTTAATGTTCATATACTGATTGTACTGCTCGTCGATCGATAACTCGATCCATCGATCAATCATTCACCCGAGGCATTCGAATCAAAGCATAACCAAATATCTCGTATGAGTGATAGATGATTATGATCACCTCATATCGTATCTTGTCGTGTCGTGTGTCACAATCGTCGTAAACCGTAGTGATGTAGTGTTGTAATTTGCTCGAGTAGTCTATCAATGCGTGTGTATTCCCTTCTAGCTCTGTTATATTCTCTTTCATAATGAATATTGGTGCAGGATGTTATTTGTTGGTACATTGACAGTATATAGCGTATTTATCACAAGAAAACAACAGAATGTAAACAGCTACGGCCGATTTCAGACTTTGCTAATCGAGCGATTTGCTAGCGTCCGCGGTCACGTCGCGATAAGCCAATCGAGCGATTGGCTGGCCGCGACGCGCGAAATCACCAGTGCCGCCAATTTACATCGGCCTACCGGCACACGACTGGAGGTTTCGATACGTTGTTGAGGCAGCCGCCGTTGCGCGGAGAGAAGCAGACCCCACAGGCAGGACGGGTACGGAGTCGAGGCGCGGGCTGTGATAGCATTTGCGACTTAGACTTTCAAACAGAATTGTCATGGAGACTTTCCATACATTGCACAATTGCGTGCAAGTGTCCCGTTAGTCCCCTGCGTCTACTGCCTTCTCGCGCGCCACGCAGTCAGTTGAGATAAAATACTCGCCAGATGTCAGCAAAGCCTTCTGAAGCAGCTATGCGGTCGCGCTACTACCAAGTGTGGTGGCTGCCACGTCAATTCCAGTGACCCGCCCAATCAGACTTCGAAGTCGACTACATACCCTCCCCTTCAAAAAGCCAGAAAGTGTGCGGTGCAGACCAAACACCACAACTGACGACGGCCTCCAAGTAAATCTGGTTAGTAGTGGTTCATAGTGATAGCTGATTTTTAGTAAATGATAGTTGTAATTAGTGTCAACTGATCGAAACTGTAACAGGTTAATCATTTCATTGGCAAAAAACATTTGCATTTTCTGGAGCACCTGTGGTGTATGTCCTGCACCCAAAAACTTTCTGGCTTTTTGTAAGGGAGATACAGTCGATTCCGAAGTCTGATTGGGACTTCAGTGTCACCTGGAAAATGGAGCGCTGGCAGCCACCGCACTTGATAGATGTTGTGGAGGATAAAATACTCCGCCAAATATCCAGCAAAGCGTGTTGGAAGCAGCTTATCCGCGCAACTTCTATCAAGTGCGGTGGCTGCCACGTCATTTCCGGTGACACGCCCAATCAGACTTCGAGATATCGACTGTACGTACCCTCGCCTTCAAATAACCAGAAAATGTGCAATTGCAGAAATTGACGTGGCATCGAATCAAGAACATCTTTGAGCACACGTGACGTCACCTTTTCATCGAGAATTTAGCCACGTGTGCCACGTGGATTTCTGGCTGCATGAAACGGAGTGTACACTGCTTTAGAATGGAACTCAATTAAGAAAAATGGGTGCAACACGTGTTCGGCTCCCTTGTGCCCGAAATGGGCCTAGAGCCAGTTCACATTGAATTTGCTTCAGATTTCTTTATTAGCAGATCTAGAGTGAAGTCTAGTGGGGAAACGCTTCATTCTATGCCATACTGGTTCTTATTGGAGTCTGAGTTGTGTGCTTAGGGTGCGAATATGTGAAACGAGTGACCCAAGCAATTTACGATGGTTCTTCTGTGGCGAACAAGTACTCCCATCTGTGTAGTGAGCAACCGTCACAGTTAATGGATAGGAAAACAGCTTTCAAACACTTCGCTTTCCGATACAAGAAACTGGGTTCACTCTTAATCAGTGATTCAGTGGTGGACCTGGGGATCTCACCGCAAGAAAGATTCGCGGTGTGAATTGGGAAAGTCGCTTTCTATCCTTCTGTCCTAACCACACCCTCTTGCGCTGATTGAGCCTGAGAAGGGAGAAACTTCGCGGAAAATTAAAGATACTTGCTCATCCGCCCCTTACAATTAATCACCCTGAGGCTTACCCCCTAGCTGAGGGACTAGGGGGGGTGTTATGTTATCCTTACGCTTCAAGAAACGGCAGACCACACACCACAAGTGACGACGGCCTCCAAGTAAATCTGATATTAGTGCTCCACAGTGATAGCTGATTTTTAGTAAAAGATAGTTGTAATCAGTGACGACTGATACAATACAACTGCAACAGGCTAATCTCGGTTGGTGAAAAGATGGCGCATGTGGGGGGGGAGGGGCAGTCGCCGCGCGCGGCTCAGCGATGTTGTGTAACTCGAACATTCCAGCTTCTCACGCATGCTAAGTGACTGCCCTCACCCCCAACCCCCTGAATTGGCTACATTCCCCCTGGCTCACGAATTTCCTGTTGCCGCAACGCCGCGCGCGGCGCTGCCCCCCCCCCGAGCCACATTGCGCCGAAACATTTACATTTTGTGCAGGCTGTCGTCACTTGCGGTGCATGGTCTGCACCCGACACTTTCTCGCTTTTTGATGGAAATATACACTTTTAAATTGATCTGCTCCACAGAACTGCGACGCGCCGCGACGACTCGCCGTCGCGTCAATGCTTCTGTCTTTGAGGACTTCCTTGGACAGATTGGGCTCTTTCCTTTTTCAATGTGTGATTAGGATTGCCACCTTTTGCAGGGTTCTCCCTTTCAATATGAAAGGTGGATTCTTCGTCGATTGCGAGTTGACGACGCCCAAGTTAGGCCTTAATTAGCCCATTCACCACAGAAAAAGACCTAATGAAGTGGTTACATAGTTAAGGGTATTCGAAACAAGCCTACTAAATGAATGAGGATTTCATCCTACTCCCCTCTTTCCTTCATATATTCATGTAGGACAACAAGCTCATATATAGGAGCTTGTTCTACCTTTCATCTCGTCCCCTTGCGCACGCTTCTTGTGTAGTAAATACCATCGGAGGATCAATTATGTGAACAGGGAGCTATAATACTTGATGGGACTCGATACTCTCACGTTGTCATCATAAGGCCGTTTCCTAGTTGACGTTTTAGTTGTTAGTTGATGTTTTAAATTTCGCGGATTTCTCAAGATGCTTTTTTTGGGTAATTGTACAAGCTTTTGTTTGGGCTAAAATGTCAGCATTTCGCCATCCCACGCTCAACGCCATCGAGACGGTTTGGGACTTGCTTGTCGCCATTGTTTGTCTTTTTTTCAGTGAGTGATTAAACAGCCCGCAGTGTTTGCATGGAAGCATGCTGAATCAGTTCTATCCCTGGGAAATTCTGTTCTGCTGCTTTTGCTATCCTGCTTCTATGAGAATAGATTTCAGAATCAAAACCGATTTCGCGTGCAAAGCTCGAAGCCCCCTGATCGACCATTGGTTCCGTATATGCGATATAGCCGCAAAATGTGGTCAAAGGTTTGGAGCTTTTTTCTGGCAGGCGATTTTTGAATTGTGTTTTTTGATATCGTTGCTGCGAAAATTGCGACGATACACAGGGTATTTTCCATTCTATTATAAAACAGTAATAGCAGTGTTAAGATCTTTATGGCGATTTTTTGTAACCTATAGTACTGTAATTTTGACCATTGACAAGCAGCATTTTACAGGTACGTGCTGAGAATCCAGATGCGCAACTCTGGGATATCGGTAAGATCATTGGCCAAATGTGGCGAGATATTTCGGATGCGGACAAGGCTGTCTATCAGCATGAATATGAAATAGAAAAGGTGAAATAAGATCCAATTCTTTATACTTCCAAAAGCTTGTGTGCTTTTCCATGGTTTCCTGAGATTTTTTTATTATAGGATAATATCCATAATATTTATGGGATTTTAGGTTGAGTACGAGAAGGCATTCAAAGCCTATCAGAATTCGCATGCCTATCAACAATATGTAAATGCTAAGGTCTGTTTCGTGAGTTTTTTAAACAGTTCTTTACTATTCTTTCTATGTTGGTTGGTTGCTTTTTATGAGGCTTCAAAAAGCGGGAAATAAGCTTGCCATTCTTGTAACTCCCAAGGATGAACTTTGTAAAGAAAGATAGCGCTCATGCTTAACCTTTCAGCCGTCCCTTGGGGATTGATAACGAGCGGTGGCCGGTTGACTGGAAAGATGGTTGAAGTTCTTAGGGTTTTGCTTTACCAGATCTGATCAATTGGCGGTCTCTTGAACAAGGTGTTGGACTATGCAGATGATAGAGTGAAAACGAAATACAACTTTTTCTTGGAAATAACGTTCTAGTTGAGATCACAATGAGACTGGCCGTATCTGTATTGGAACCGATTAGTAAGGTACAGCTGCTTTTCATGTTCCATACGTCAACAGTCAGGGAAAGGATCCTACACGAACAATATGTTTGATAGGTAGTGATTGCAGTACTTACTAATAGGGTGCACCTCCAATTTTGTAGTTATCGGGCAAAAGTGGAAGAAACAGCCGTTTAGACTTCATTTTACCTCAAATAACAATATTGTTTTTCTTCAAGACCCGAGCTAAAGCCAACGAAAAATCATCACGAAGTCGCATGGAAGTCGGTGGTGTTGTTATTCAACCTGTTGACGAAGAAGATGCTGGAAATGAACTGTCGTGTCGACGTCTTGCTGCCGTTCGGTTGGTCCTAGTTTCTGATTCTGATTGCGGATATATCTCCAGCTTAGTGATAGTTAAAGCATTTCTTAACAGGTTCAATCGGACCAACCCATTTTGCAATTTTTTTTTCAATTTTTATTCCCCACATTGAATACGGTTTGCTACTTGATTAGCGCTTTTGCTGCATTTAAAGCAAGGCAGGCAAGTGACACGCAGTTTTGACGTAGTTTTTCGTACTATCCAAACTACCCCGGGATTCTTTTTCTTCAACCTTTGTTCCTTTACAAAAACCGATCCTCCCAAGTATGCTCTGATGTTTCAGTTTCGATCGCAATCATCGCCTTATTGGAGATCTTTTCTCACCGGCAGTTGTCACGGATACCCGAACGGTACGTGGAAAAAGTGTTTCATTGACAGTATTTTTCATCAGAGTCATCACTTTCAAATTCCTATTACTATGCTATGCAAATCGTTTCTGTTCCAACGAGAGTTTCCAAGCTAAACAATTTATAGAATCATCGATTAATCGACTTGTTGATGTTTTAGTGAAAGTCTTATTTCTTACTTTTAATGAGCAAAAATTTGGGATTACGAGTTATCATTTTTATATAAATATGGAGACAGTTGAGTGCCCTGTTCAGATTTTTTCTTTCTTTGAGAGGACTTGTAAACGAGCAACATGGGTCTTTTAACACGTTGACGACAGCATGACGCGCATGCGCGTCAGAATTTCACCCGATTCTGGCTAGTTTTTTTCGATTTATTTGGCCTTTTTCATATTTCAAAACTGTGTGCATGTTATCTTATCCGAAAAACTGTGCGTCAATTACCAGTAGTGGAATTATTGAAGAAGTTATGACGATTGTGAAAAAAATAAACAAAAAGTTGCCGAGGTACACGCATAAGGGGCTGTCGTCAACGTGTTAATTCTGTTTTGCAGTGAATGTCAAGCAGTGTTTATTCCATGTGGTGAAATCTAGATCGACGGAGTTTTTGACTCAAAGTTCTCATGTTGTAGGTTGTGGCTCAGAATCGTATGGATATGTTGCGAAAACAAGCTCAGTCATTGTCTGCACACCAGAGCAAGCTGGAGGAGGAGCTAGTGAAGTTCGTTTACCATCCTCACTGGAATTTCTTTTCACTATTGGAAGGCTCCTCAGTCGCTTGATTTTGTTTAGGTTGGAGGAGATTCATCGAGAAAAGAAACGTCAAATCGAAAAGGGCAGTGAAGAGTTTGCTGAAAATTTGAAGAGGGTATGACTAGTATGTTATATTGATATGCATCGATTTTCTAAAACGTTGCTGTTTCACAGGTGTGTGAAGAGAGGCCTCAGCTGGACGAAGCGAAATATGCAGAGTTGTTAGAAGAAATGAAGGTTAAGCTAGCGGAAGCTTACAAGGAGTACAAGAAAAAGCAGGATGAGATCAATGCAAGGCTAGGTTAGGTCTCCTCTCTCGTTTTTGATTCTTACCGTTCGTCTCCGTTTCCTATGCTTGATGTTTCAGCAGCTGAACGCGAAAAGATCGTAGAAGAGACACCAGTATTGGCAGAATTGGTTATGGGCGATGAGAATGACACAGATACGATTTCCAAGGCACCGGAACCTGAGGAGAAAGAAGAGGAGGAGAAGAAAGAAGAAGAGCCACCAAAAGAGGAAGAAAAACCAGCAGAGGAGGAGAAGAAGGCCGAAGAGGAGCCAAAACCAGAGCCCTGAAAAAGCTGAAAGTGCTGAAGAGGCTAAGTGATCGTTCTTGATATCATTTCTTATTTATTTTTCATGCGTGTTTATGTGTTCTGATTTTTCATATTTTTCATGTAACTAGATTTCCAGTTTCTTTCTATGGTGATTTTACATAATTAATTTTGTGGTCTATTTGTTTAATTCATTCGATTTTGTTTGTTTATTCTTATCTCGAAGTTCTCATCCTTCCATTTGCGAAGTGCTTTGGCATATCAGTTCTCCAATTAGCTCGGGCTCCGGAAAATCTGATCGTTTTGATCTGCGCTGCGCAAGAATAGGCTCAATTAGGCACAAAAGTGGTGTGTGAAGCATTGGTTTCCGCTCAGCCCAATTGTAATGGGTCATTTATTAGGAAGCACCCGTTATCATGCAGTATTCACCCACTAGGACTGATTTGACCTAACGCGGATGGAGGTTGGGAAGGTTTTTGAACCCCCATAGTATGCTCATGCTTGCTTTTTGTGCATGTTCGCAACTCAAAATCCCGCTTTCAGTCGCTAAGGAACAATCTTTCTTTTGGATGAAGTCCCTATAACCTTCTTTCCGCGTAAGTCGGTTGGATCAACAGAAATGTATCATAGCCTCCCCGCACCTTTTAGACCATGTGGCTCTATTTCATCCAAAATTCCTCGTCTTATCACCATACGGCTACAGTCACGTGTTCACATCGGATAATTGCTACTAACGACTAATCATAATTCCGAAGCGCCGTGATTGTATACAAGCCGTAATTTAGTTGTTGCCACGTATAACGATAGTGATAACGGGGCGATTGCAGGAGAGTTCTTTGTTCTCGGACTCTCAACGTCATGAAAACGTTCTGGCTGCCTGGTAATTTTCATTGTGGGGGTTGAAAAAAGATATGGAATCACTTCGGTTGATCTGTTATCCACGAAAACAGAACGTGCCTATAAAAAATGCTTCAATTTCTTGTGCTGTAACGGAATGCCACTACAGGCTAAAACCACAAAGTTCGAACAAGCTTAATCCATACCTCCCAGCCTCCCTACGTCTCAAATGCACAAAGACCGTAGCGCATCACGGTTGTTTTACTGTCAAGGGGGCGCTGATCGATGGTTTATGTCCATGGCATTTCAACATCCTAGGTGTACTGAAATCCTACCAATTGTCATATCATAGTGATGCAGTGGGGTAGGCCTCTCAATTCACTTGATAGTTTTATATTCATTGATTTTTTGCAGTGAAATTGCATCCTCGCATTCACGTTCGCAATGAAATCGCAAATTTCTAACATCGTGCTTTCAACTGGTATCATCTCGACCATATTTGAATTCGATTTCTCATTCTAAGTGATTCTCCCTTTCGCAGCGGCTCGTGAACAAAAGCCTTGGAACAGAACTGCTTCATCTCACATACGATAATTTTTCTATGGGCACAAGAGGTGCAGCTAGTGCTGAGTGAGTTTCTAAGGAGTCTTGTTAAGTCCGACTTTTGAAATGAAATTAGGAGTGGGCACCAAACTCCTTTCTATGCATTGTCGCACAGGATGAGCCACGTGACGATTAAATTTGGCAGCCGCTACGTCCTTGCTATTTTCCATGTGAGATCCCATCCACGACCCCATTTTGTATCAAATTCCATCTAGGGTACACCTTTTTTACATAGAACGGTCCGTTGAGGGAGGATAGAGGTAAATAGTTTAGTCAAAAGGGAAGGAATTCCAAAATTTCCTGGGGTTTAGAACTACGTGAACTTCCTATTTTTTATTTCGGTAAAACGTCCATATCAGAAAAATGTCCCCGAAAACCCACTACCGATTCCTATAAATATGAGCCTTTCCGTCCTGCAAGTATAGGCACCCTCGATGTTCGGTTCACCAAGATCACCAATTAATAGTTATTCAGAAGGAGCATGTGTCCCGAGGTCTGAACCATAATTCAAGAGTGACCTTGTCAAGATCACTTCCTCTCCTTTTTAATGACACCTTTCAACTGGTTCAATACTGTGAATAAGAAAAACTAATCAAATTACTATGAAGGTTTTTGAAGTTCTTAGTTTGGAGGGAGTGGCTGACTTGAGCTCGCATAGAAGTTCAACCGCTCTTAGTTGTTCATTGATTCAGGTACTTCTTGAAAAGTGACTATGCAGTGATATTTCTCCATCGAGAAGAATCGTTGAAGCCATTTTCACGGAATTTTCCACATATTTTCGAATCGCTTGAAATCGACGGTGATCGCGTATGTTTTGAGAACTTTCTTCTCTCTTCTTTTTAGCTCTTTGGTTTGAATGCATTTGAAGCTGATTTTTTCGATAACGAATCGCTAGATCCGAACTTTGCGCCAGCGAATCGACCGATGCACCAGCGAGTCGACACTGTTTGAAAAAGGCCCAACGTTTGAAGGAAGTCCATTTAAAGGACCACACTGTTTGAAAGTGGCGGGACTTCCTTTAAACGTTGGGTCCCGCCACTTTCAAACAGTGTTGAGTCGCTGGTACATAGTTCGACTCGCTGGTACATCGTTCGACTCGCTGGCGCAAAGTTCGATTCGCTGGTGCAACGTTCGATTCGCTGGCGCAACGCTCGGATCCAGCGATTCGCTAGCGTCCCACTCGAAATCCACTTGAATAGCCAGGCGGCACCCG